TTGAGAGTTCTGAGAATGTCGGAGCACAGTAGGGGGGGGTAGAAGAGACAAGGTAGGGGAACTTGAGAATGAGTGCGGGTTGGAGGTAGGGGAGAGGTAGGGGGTAAAGGGAGAAGTAACGGATAAAGAGAGAGGGGATAGGGGACGAGTCGAGTAGCTAGGGGCATGGACAGGGCGGTACTTCTTGAAACTTTGGCTGGAGTTTCTCAAGGGAGGAGCAGGCTGAGGTTGTTACTGTGGAGTAAAGAGGTCGCTTAGCACTAGGAGACGGAAGCTGTGAGTGAGATTTGGTTACTCGACGAGTTGTTGGGAGAAATCCCACAGAACCTAAGTCAGGTAATGGTCCTGGTAGTCCAGTCTGAGTCGTTTCGGGTTGTTTGTGAGGTATTTATGGCCTCAAGTGGTCCATTTGTAATAGAATCCTTGTTTTTTCCCAAAAAAAAAAAAAAAAAAAAAGACTTGGCGCACAGGGGGCTGGGAAGCTCGGCTTCTATAGTTGGGCCAAGTACTGGTGGTTTAATCCAACCCTCTCTACTAGTGGGACCCCGCCCCTAGATAGGACGTTTGTTTGTTTGTTTGTTAAAAGACATACATAAATGCTTAAGCAGTCAATATACAACAATGACACTAGACAAGAAGCAAAAGCAAGAAGAGAAGAGAGCAGCAGCAGAAGAAGAAGAAGAAGAAGAAGGCAAAAAAAAAAAAAAAAAAAAAAAAAAAAAAAAAAAAAAAAAAAAAAAAAAAAAAAAAAAAAAAAAAAAAGACGATACCCAAGACAATAAGGAACTTCCGAACGCGACTGTTCCGTAAAAAATTGGAGTGAAAACATCACGGAACCATACGGCGAATGACCCGACTGGTTTCGCTTGGCCGCGGTGACCAGCTCTCATCAAGGGTCTTTAGTGAATAGGTAGTGCGTCGTCAACTTATATATCCTAAGAAGGTGACAAAAACAGAAAAGAAAAAAGTATTTGAAAAAAACTAAGCTAAGCTAAAATTCCGAACAGATTCAGCAGAAGACGACGAAGTTCATAGTATTGTGAGACCCAAGACAAACCCAGTACTATCTCAAAACCAGCGTTACCGAAAGTTTCACAATCTGCAGACTACTATCCTAAAACATACTACAAAGAACCTCACACCTCATAGGTCACCGACTCAAAACTCAGTACTTATCTCGAAACCGATGTTACCGAAAGTCCCACAGTCTTCAGTCAACTGTCTCAAAACACTCTCCAAAAGACCTCAAACATCAGAGGTCAAAGGTTCAAAACATAAGCCAACCAAACTATAGCGATACTACCGTAAATCCCAAGACAAGGCCCAGCGACTTCATAAAGTTAATAACGTCACAGGTTCAAATCCTACGTTCCCCTGACATGGCCACAGCCAAGGCCAAAAACTTTCAAAGTCCAAAAAATAGTATTATTACCTTAAAAATAAGGTCCTAGTTCGAAATCACCATTTAATTTACAAACCGGACAACCCTCAAAAAGTCAACCAACTCTACAACTCTGCAACTCTGAAATTCTGTATACATCGACAAATGGGTCCTATAGCCGGACCAAGTTCCCCTGACATAGTAATAACGAACAGCCTGTCAACACCGGTAGCCATTCGCACCAAAGCCCGTAAAATTTACTCGAGAAGCTAACTAGCGCGTTATCAAAGAAGTCATCGGGATAACTTTTCTTCCACAACTCAACTTTCAGAGAGAAGAGAAAAGTTAATTCAGTACCAATGAGAGTAGTGAAAGTACGTGCTCGATGGAGAAAGGAACCAATAACAGCCATTTTCTGCATTTTGCTGAAAAAGGAAGATAAATGTTGAATACTCTAAAAAACCACCCTCTCATTCCTCCAAGTTATCTGATTTTTATGGGTTGCAACACACCAAAGACCTGCATTGTCTTTCAACACATTGAGAATACATCCCAAAAATTCCCAGTGAGATCCCTCACTCATTCTTTCCAGAACCAGATTGGAGTCGTAATAGTCTTGAAATTTGTCTATCACCCGTTCAACCTCATCTTCAGATTCACGAGAATCATTCTTACAGGCGAAATCCTTCAAACAGTTTTCGTTCACTCCCTAATGTTGACAAAAACGAAAATTCGTTATAGGTACACAGCAAACAGGCCAGAGTCGGGCTAGAGGATTTTCCCATCGGGATTCCTATAGTCTATCGCAAAATCCTACTCGTAGCCTTGACGAAGGTGTTCTTCAACTCAAAGGAGATAAAGCGAATAATTTGTTGGAAAGTGATCGTAGCCCATCCTTCCTCTCCAGATTTACGAACCAGCTTAGCACCCTTTCCACGTGACATGACTGCAACAACACTAAAGCCTTCACAATACCAATAGTCCATCACCCAATCCAGAGTGCGAAGAATAGAGAAATGTGTGAGATTAGAAAATATTTCTTTCACATGAAACGACGCCCCGACCAAGAATTCATCCTTTCTGAGTTTCTTGTTGATTCTCTTGATGTTTGCTACCACGTCCATAGTTCTTCTCATGTTGAAATAGAGACGAGATGGAAGTTGCCAGAGTAGTTGATTAACTGCCTTAGACAACTTTCTTCCTCCAGCAACTGCATTCTCAAAAAAAGATGGACAAATCGGACGCCATCTGGTCACATCCTTATGCTTCAGGATGCAGTAAGCTTGTCCCAAAGTACCGTTAGATTTCCACGGTCCTTTTTTTTCCAGACCCAGCTCTATGTAACCAGCCTTACATCTCGATAGTACTTCAGACTCCTCATCCTTGCAAATAGAGAATGCTGGATTGTTCAAAAAAAAGTTTACTCATGCCATAACGGTATACAGTCGGGCAACAAACAAAGGTACGCAAACCAAACCATCAAAGGTAAACTTCAATCGATCAAAATTCTCAGTGTTACACTCTTTCAACACCAACCAGTTTTCAGCAGAGACAAGCACAAGTCGCACAAGGGCTGAGGAAGAGGCATCGTCCGAAGAGGGAAGAAAATAAAGACGAGTCATTAATTCTAAGAGACACGTGGCCACTTTCTCGAGGAAGTCCAGTCTTTACCTCATGACAACCACAAACTGTTTCCGACTGCTTGGAATAGTATCGAAAGTTACGTAGACAATCCCCCACGGTGCGATTGCGGCACCAAACAATTCTCATCCGCCGAATCAACAAATTCTTCCACGTGCCCGGGATTCCCAGGCCTCCAATGATTCTTACACACACCTGTCGAATCCGTACTTTATTGTAACTTGGATCATATGTCAATCGAATAACAAATCGATGTCGAACATGCACATCATAGCAGGTGATAGTAGTCATAGAGAGAATCCCCCGTAGTCTAAACCTGGTGCGTTTTTCGTGAAAAATCCTAATAGCCGAGAAGGCCGATACAAGTTTATCAAACTCTCATCTGTATGTACAACTCTTTCCTCGTGCCCGGATTACTCAGTAGTCGAATCAACGGTTCCTCAAGACAAACAACTTGTCGTAGAAATGAGACAACATTGGAGACAACAATAGTGACACCACTGACCAACCAACTTCGGTAACATCGTAATTGACCATTACCAAAAGAACACGAAATCATAGATCCTACATACAGTCTCTTCACGATGTCTCACTTATCAGCCATTCGGAACCCTCCTTTACATATAATAACACAACTCAAAACACCCTGTCCAATACAAGAATCGAGTTCGTGCAACAAGCTAATAGAAGTGATTCCTATGGAGGAAGTAAATACCAAAAGAGACTTAGACGACAACTCGGTGCAATTCAAATTTCGTTTACCTTTTTTTCTTAGTCTTTCACGTAATCCCTTCCGAGTCCTCTTCGATCGGCATGGTTTATCGCGAACATTCACAGCAGACCCACAAGTTCGAATAAAAAACTTTTCGGCAATCAACAAGTCTTCCTGACTTCTACAATAATATATTGGAATTGCAATGTAACGGTTCACAACGCATCGTCTTAGCCAGCGATAAAGTTTCTCATTATGATCCCCACGATGTAGTAAGGAAGGATTACAAACTCGATAAGCATACTCACTCCAACGTGTATGCACATCCCTACCGGTATTCCCTATATAAATATGTCTATACCAGGGGGAAATGAGAGCATAGACCAAAGGACCATCGCAACACTCAAAATCATAATTAGCACCGAGAAGAGAGCTAAAACAATCGACAAATTTCTCAGCCCAGGGAATCTCACCAGAAAGGGTCAACCCAATCACTGCCAGACAAAACAGACCGTTTAAATATCGACAGCGCAAACGTTGAACAAACAGACTTCACGGATTCGAACAGTGCCTAGCTACTTTCCAAAGGTAAGCCGCGTCGGGAGTTGACCCTAGGAAGTGCTCTCGCCAGCCCCGTCAAACTTACCGAAATCCTCACTTGCTTCTTCAACGTTGTCGGAGACTTCAATCGCAGTCCTACCCGAGGTTCCAGGTGGCAGTTCATCACAAGCTTTCTGTGTCCGTCGAAGGGCAATCTCTTCCTTCGTGTTGTCCAATGTGGTATATGTAACTCCTTCTTTCTCATAAATGGCGACTACCATGTCCTTCAAGAACCCCTCACGATCATTTGCATGTGCATCTTTTCTGGCCGCTTCAATTCCAAAGTTATCAAAACAGCCATCACCTCCTCCGACCGCAGCCTCCAGTTTTTGGCGTAAGTCAGTAGCAGCTGACTTGCGTTGTGTCTCCTTCATTCGTGAAACTTTCGTTTTTTCCGTTGACTTCATCTGAACCTTGCTCAGAGCTACCTTCAGCTTCTCAATTTCCTTATCCTTCACTTCTTTCACTCTTTCGGCTTCTTGCTCATCCTTTTTCCTCCAATTGAATTCACGAATCCTCATTTCCTTCAGAACATTAACCTCCTTCATATGCCTTGCAACCAACTCACTGTAATCATCATCGATCTTCTTCTTAGTGTTAGGCGGTGTCGCAGCAGGAGCGCATCGAGGTCGAGAGCGCAGGAGCGGATTGGGTGTAACCCCAACAGCGACGTTCCTACGTTTGTTGTCCGTTCGTTGCGCTTCCAGTTTTCAGCCTTCTGCCTTATTCATTGCCTCCTCTGAGATGCGTTTCAAGCTTTGCACCTGCTCCTCGAGTGCCGCAATTCGCCTCTTGCTTGCTTCCTGTGCTTTATGTTTCGCCTCATCATACTCGCGCTGCAGCCGAACAGAGGATTCTACCTCATTTACCGTCGCAACAGGTAAGTTTCTCATCTTCTTTAAATTGTCAACCTCCACTCTCAAAGTTTTTATATCGCACACTTCTTTCTTCTTCAAGTTCATAATCTCCTCAGCACCTCCAAGTCTAGAGGAAATCAAGTCCCCTATCTGCTTGTAGTGCTCGTCACGATCTTGCTTATCCTTCTGTCTTCTTAGTTCATCCTCTTTGTCCCGTCTCTCTTTCTCCTCATCTTCACTCTTTTTTTTCTCATGTTCTTCTTCGGCGTCATGGCGAATTTTTATCTTCGTGACAGTCTCCTCCAAAGTCTTAATCCTCTTCGTGTTACTCGGTCCAGTCCAGCCTCCTCGGTTTAACTGTGAATTAAAATACGTGTTATTACTCGTACTTGGCAACGTCAAAAGCGGTTGAGTCTGGACGGGAACAATGGCGGAATTGGGGTTAGACACAGGAGCCTGACGAGGAGGATGAGGACAAAAACATTGGATATGGCCAGCTTGGCCAAAGTTATAGCAAGAACGAACGAAGCCATTGCTGGTAGCCATAACGGTAGTTTCCTGCTAAGCCGATCAAAGCACTCGAAGCCATTCAGTCGTAGTATAATCTTTATACCGGTTACTTCGTGAAAGAAAGTTTGTCAAAAGATATACATAGATGCTTGAGCAGTCAACATACGACAATGACACCAGACAAGAAGCAAAAGGAAGAAGAAGAAGAAGAAGAAGAAGAAGAAGAAAAAAACAACAACAACAACAACAACAACAACAACAACAACGATACCCAGGATAATAAGGAACTCCCGAACGCGACTGTTCCGTAAAAAAATGGAGTGAAAACATCACTGAACCATACGGCGAATGACCCGACCGGTTTCGGCTGGCCGCAGTGAGCAGGTCTCATCAAGGTTCTTTAGTGAATAGGTAGTGCGTCGTCAACTTATATATCCTAAGAAGGTGAAAAAAGTATCTGGAAAAAAACTAACCTAAGATGAAATTCCGAACAGATTCAGCAGAAGACGACGAAGTTCATAGTATCGTCAGACCCAAGACAAACCCGGTGTGAGGAAACCCGAGGAGGGGCGCCCGCTTGTCGCTGAAGCCAAGGGCAACGGCGCCTGTCACTCGCCGCGCCCGCATCCGAGGTCCTCAGCGACCAGCAGGGTGTCTGATGTTAGAGTTGCCTGTCGGCCCAGCTTACCGACAACTTTCGTTTAGTCACCAACAGTTTGTAAATCTGGACGATATATGTTGTCCGATATTAATTTTCCTGTTTCTCGGACGGTCACGGCTTTCAGATTCAGCAAGTTTATCGGTGATAGCAGAGGAAGAATAGATCACATTCCAAGGGGGAAATAGTCACAGCACATTGAGTTTTCAATCCAAGGCTCTCGACACCCTCCCCTGCCCTTGCGTTCTCTCTCTCTCTCCTTCAACTGTTTCGCAGTGCCACGATGGCAGCTCAATCTTACCCACTTCGCAAATGACCCTATGAGCAAATGGGGAAATCCGACCGTTCACAAGTTGTTTGTCGGTTGGTGATTTAAGTGTTCGCTTTGAGAGGCCCTGGTTTCGCCAATAATCATGCCTTCTATTCAGCGGTCTCGACTGTTCAGAGGTATTGTGATACAATTAACCACTCATTTTTTTTGTTTATTTCTCACAGACCTACCGGTGGTCCTGCCGCCAATTGGTGAACTTGACTTGTCTTATGGATAATCCAGTGAACTGATCGGCCACCCCACTTCGACGACTCCGAGTGATTATCAGGGACCAAACTTGTAATCCCATTGCCCTTCAGCAATGTAGGCTGATGAATAACTGTTCAGCTACTCCACTTCGAGTGGGGTAATTACCGGGATCCAAGTGTTAACCCCGTTGTCAGTCAACAGTCCTTTCAGCGTGCTTGATTTGTCTAGCGGTTAGCCCACAAGTTCAAAATTGGATGTATTCGGTAGTGAGCGATGCCAGGAGCGAGGAGCCCGAGTTAAAGGAATAAATAAATAATTAAAAGCAAAAAGATAAAAAAGAATAAGGAAAAAAATAAAAAAATAATAAATAAAAACAGACTTTCTCTCTCACTCTCTGGATCTTTCTGCTCAGTCTCTCCCCTCCTCTCTCTCTGTGCGTCGCTGCCACTCTCTCTCTGCTGACCTGCTACTCTCTCTCTCTCTCTCTCTCTCTCTCTCTTTGGAGAACACGTCTCCCTCACCTCGCCTGCTGACCGCGATCCCAACTCAAGCACGTCGTTAAGACGAACGGGGAAATAGCGTGTATGGAGGCTCACGTCGTCATGCTACTCAGGATAATG